TTGTCAACTTGACACACAACACATCACTTTAAGCCATAACCTTTCAATTCTTGTCTCTAGGATCTCACATGTTGATACCATAATGTAAAACGCAGTACAACTTTGAAAATCCAAAATGCTTTAAAAGTTCAATGCTATAGAACTCCTAAGTCTCTTATCTGTTGGCTCCTGAAAAAAATAATATGAGAAAAAGAAGTTACACACTTTTTTATCATTTTTTATTTTAATTTTAAATAGCTTGTTTTACATGTCAATCCCAGTTCCCTCTCCCTCCCCTCCTCCCGCACTCCCCTTCCCCCCCACCCTCCCACCCTATTGCCAAATCCTTCCATATAGGGGATATCTAGAGTCTGTCATTTTACTCTAGGTAGGGTCCAGGCACTCCCCTAAGAGTCCAGGCTGAGAGAGCATCCCTCTTTGTGCTATAGGCACACGAAGACTGTTTGTATTCCAGGGACAGACACTGATCCACAGCTCAGGGCCCCATAGGTTGCCCAGGCCTTCTCGCTGACACTCACATTTGGGGGATCCAGATCAGTCCCATGCTGGCCTCCCCACTGTCAGTCTGCACTCCAAGAGCTCTCCCCTGTTCAGATCAGCTGTCTCTGCTGGTTTTGCCAGCTCATTCTTTGCCAATTTGCTCATCACTCCTCTCTCTCTGTCACTGGGTTCCTTGGGTTCAGTTCAGTGATTAATTGTGTGTTTTCCTCTGCTTCCATCAGTCACGGGATGAAGGCTCCCGGATGGTTATAGACATCAAGTTCATTATCAGGAATGGGCATTCGAGGTGGTCTCTCCACTATTGCTTAGCTTGCCAGTTGGTGTTATCCCTTTAGATCACTCGAGGTCGCTCTGGTGCCTGATCTGTATTCGATCCTATGATTCCCTCTTCTCCCTATTCTACCCCCACCCCCTCAACTTCCTCTTCCCCCATGACCAACTCTCTTCCTCTTCACCCCCTCTCTTCTTCCCAAGTCCCACTCCCCCTCACCCCTCACTGTGTTCCCCATCCATTCAGGGGATCTTGTCTCCATCCTCTTCTCTTGGGTACTATGCATATATGCCTATCTTTTAGGTTCTTTCCTGTTTCCCAGACTCTCTATCAGTGGAAGTGCAGACTGGCACTATCCTGATCCATGTCTAAAATCCATATATGAGTGAGTACATACCATGTTTGTCTTTTTGCGACTGGGTTACCTCACTCAGGTATGGTTTCTTCCACTGCTATCCATTTACCTGCGAATTTCAAGATTCCACTGTTTTTTTCTGCTGAGTAATACTCCATTGTGTAAATATACCACATTTTCTCTATCCACTCTTCAGTTGAGGGGCATCTAGGTTGCTTCCAGGTTCTGGCTATTACAAATAATGCTGCTATGAACATAGTGGAGCAGATGCCCTTGTTGTATGAACTTGCCTCATTTGGATATATGCCTAAGAGTGGAATTGCTGGGTCTAGTGGTATATTAATTCCCATTTTCCTGAGGAATCTCCATACTGATTTCCAAAGAGGCTGTATGAGTTGGCACTCCCACCAGCAGTGGAGGAGTGTTCCTCTCTCTCCACATCCTCTCCAGCATAAATTGTCTTCGGTGTTTTTGATTTTAGCCATTCTGACAGGAGTAAGATGGTATCTCAGGGTTGTTTTGATTTGCATTTCCCTGATGGCTAAGGATGTTGAGCACTTTCTTAAGTGTCTCTTGGCCATTTTATCCTCCTCTACTGAGAATTCTCTATTTAGCTCTGTACCCCACCTTTTAATTGGATCCTTTGGTGTTTTGGAGACTTGTTTCTTGAGTTTTTTGTAAATTTTGGAGATTAGCCTTCTGTCAGATGTAGGGTTAGTGAATATCTTTTCCCATTCTGTGGCCTGCCTTTTTGTCTTTTTGACTGTGTCCTTTGCACACACTTTTTATACCAAAAGAGAATAGTCAATGCATAGGAGCAATCAGATTAGCAAAGGCCCAATGTAAACTAAATACTATAGCTCAGTGTCTCACATCTGGAACTCCCTCAGAATTATAGGTCTCAGAGGCAGGCCCATTATATGAAGCTCTACCAACTGCAGTGCACACAACTTGACTCATAGGCTGGGTCCTCCAGGCACTGTCCTTAGCCTATGTCCTCTGTCTTAGCATCTTAAATATCCTGATATCCTAATACAACCATGGCTGTACATTCACCAGTGACCTCCCTTGGCTTCTCTTCAAGGGTTCTGACTGTTCCACAGGCTTCCAGACCTCAGTTGATCTCCAGGAATATCATCCATGCCTCCAAGAGCAGTATCAGGTTGGTAACCATGATACATTGCTAAGTTAGGTGACCAGTTTGAGATGCAGTCTTGGCTGCCACTAGACCACAGCTTCAGTATGCAGACCCTGAGAACATTTTACCTGAAATACTTCATTTTAATGATGTTAATCTCTTAATAAACAGAATCTTCCGCCCCAGATAGACAGCATCCATTGTCTCAGGGAAGAATATGTTTAACTTCAGTAGTACTGATTTATCTCTTATTATAGATTCTTTATCTGCTAGCTGACCAGCAGCCATAGACTCTTAGCACAAAATCTCAACAAATGGACAAATGTCCCTAACAGTTTTTACTTCTCTCTGAAACTTCACAAGTCAGGATTCCGATTCCATTGTTTACATTTCTCTTAGCATTCTTGTTTTCCAACGTCCTGTAACATTAAGCTCTGAGTACACAATGACTTTTTTCTGCTTAAAGTTGCAAATGCTTCCATAGATCTCCCTAAATGTAACATGGACAGGTACATCTCAGTAACCATCTGGGAGCCTTCATCCTATGACTGATGGAAGCAGAGGCAAACACACACAATTAAGCACTGAACTGAACCCAAGGAACCCAGTGAGAGAGAGAGGAATGATGAGCAAATTGGCAAAGAATGGGCTGGCAAAACCAGTAGAGACAGCTGATCTGAACAGGGGAGAGCTCTTGGACCCCAGACCGACAGTGGGGAGGCCAGCATGGGACTGATCTGGACCCCCCAAATGTGAGTGTCAGCGAGAAGGCCTGGGCAACCTATGGGGCCCTGAGCTGTGGATCAGTGTCTATCCCTGGAATACAAACAGTCTTCGTGTGCCTATAACACAAAGAGGGATGCCTTCTCAGCCTGGACTCTTAGGGGAGTGCCTGGACCCTACCCAGAGTGAAATGACAGACTCTAGATATCCCCTATATGGAAGGATTTGGCAATAGGGTGGGAGGGTGGGGGGGAAGGGGAGTGCCGGAGGAGGGGAGGGAGAGGGAACTGGGATTGACATGTAAAACAAGCTTTTTAAGATTAAAATAAAAAACGATAAAAAAGGGGGCAACTAATCTCTTCCTACAGCAGCCTTCCTATTAGGTCTGGCGCAGCACACCTGTAATCCAGACCTTGGGAGGCAGAGGTATGAAGATGGAGAGTTCAATGCCAGCCTGAGCTAAATAATAGAGCGGGACCTCCTTAAAAAGATTAAATAAAACAAAACACTTTCCCATTCCTCAGCTTTTAGAAATTAAAAAAAATTATATTGTGCATACATGTAGGGAGTGCTCGTGCTACAACCCACGTGTGGCTGTCAGGAGTTGGTTCTTTCACACCATGTGGGCCCCAATAAATGAACTCAGGTCATTAGGGTGCGCAGCAGTCGTATTTACCTACTGAGACATCTCACCAGCCCCTTGTTCAGCTTTTAAAGGACACAGGACCCATACATGAGTAACAGAAATCCTAAAATGCTTAACACTTTAAGTTTCGTCTTTTCCTCTCCACACTAACAGACATTCACTTGGTCATTTAACAAACGTATATGGATTGGGCGCTCTCTTCCAGGTCTGGAGCTAGCCTGTGAGGTCATGGCCGTGAGTGGGAGAAGAGATGACCCACAGCCTCGGAGTGTTGACAGTCTGGAGCTAGACTGTCTTCCCTGGATGTGATTCAGACCCCGATCTGCTCGCTCTCTCTCCATTTTGCTCCTTACTGTTTCCCGCTTCCTTCCTCTGACAGCTCACAGACAGCTGTGGAAGCATTCTTCCTGAAAGGGGGACCTGTGTCCCGAATGTGGCACAGTCATTCAAAGAGGCCGACCTGCTTCCCACTCCTCTAGCTATGCAGGCATAAGACAGAGGCAGAAGAGGGGAGAAACAGAAAAAGGGAAAAAACAAAACCGACTGAGGATCTCAAGTCTTATTTCTGCAATGACCACCTTCCATGACTCTGGGGGGTAAAAAAAAGCAGCAAATTTCTCTGGTCCTCCTAAATGCTAAATGGAATCAGCATCCAATTCAAGCTCACTGTGATGTCCACCACGCTGCAGTGATAGGCAGAGAATCTCCCGTGTCAGCAAGGAGACTTCAACATGTAATGATGCTCGGTGTCATCCCACACCACTAGATTTCTGGGTTACCCTACACTTGGAGAAGCATCTAGAAACATGGCATGCAGACCAGCAGAGAAAACATCGCTGGTGTGTCTGGCCTAGGTTTATGTTAAAAAAATCTCTACTGGGCTCTCCCAGAAGCCGTAGTTTCCAAATAAAATTCCACTGCCAAATGTGGAAGACTTCCCCTAGAGTTGTTGGTCAAGGGTATCCTGGGGACACCCCAGAACAATACAGCTCTTATCATTGCTCTTACTTCTCCTCTAGAACTTGATAATAAGGCCCAGTTAATGAAGGCATCAAACATTTTTGTCACAGGAAATCAAGAATTAATAAAAATATTATATATTTGAAAAAAATTTTTAAATTTCAGATAGCTTTCTTATATAACACCAGGCCAGCTCCCTAGTGATGGTACTGCACTAGACCTTCCCACTGTATCCATTAATCAAGACAGTTCCTCACAGACATGGCTATAAGCCAATCTGATCTGGGAATCCTTCTATCAAGACAACCTCAGTTGGCTCAGGCTGTGGAAAATTGGCAGTTGAATCTAAATATAGCAGCGTATAAAGTCTATTTCTAGAATGCAAGAGTTTGTTTGTTTGTTTGTTTTCTAACATATACTCCAGAATTTATCACTAGAGTTTTTATACAAATCAGAAGAAAGAGAAGATCATTGAGGGAGTTTCATAGTTTCTTAATAAACAGTAAGATGGCCCACTGTGATGTCAGTTATTATCATAGCTTCTTAGAATTTAGTGACTTTAGTAAAGGAATGAGTCATTGTGCTGAATGCTTTGATATTTGACCTCTGATTGTCCAGGGCTGCACATAGATGATAACTTCTTAACTTCCCTAAACGGCATCACCCAAGTACCAATCAATATGATGTTTGCATCTTACAATAAATGAAAAGATGTTGATTTTCTCAAACTTTTCAACAATAGTTCTTCTTAGGAAGATCATAGAATGACTCAACTGCCAGTAGAAAAGATTTTAAGTTCATTTAACTTCATTAGTTTAATGCCTTGTACTCTTTACTGTCTGCAGTGTATAAAACATCAACAAACAAGATGGTTTTGACACTTGGAGAAGTTATTCTCCGAGGTGGAGGTAAAGGTAATAAATGAGTAGGAAAAATTCACACAGGTCAAATACTAAAAGCAAGTGATGATTTTGAAACATTTTTATGATAAAATGTAACATGTCCATAGAGGTTGACTATTTGTTGTTTTATTCCTTTTGTCATATATGTGACAGAAACTTTGTATTCACCATCTTAATCTTCTGCTACATTGTACTTGGTTGGCAGCCTTTCTCTAGAAGGGGGAAGATAGAAAATTTGTTATGTTGTGCAAGCAATGTGGCCTCTGCCATGCTTTTCAGCTCTGAACCTGTTGGACAAAAGAAACCATAGATGAATCATGAGCAAACAGGCCTGGCTGTATTCCATTAAAACTTTATAGTGTGCATCAAACCTTGATTTTCATATGTCATTAAATAATATTTGTTTTCAAATTTTTAAAAATATAAAACCATTGTTAGCTGACCTACAATAGGCAATAAAAGACAAGCTTCCTTTGGACTAAAGCTTCACTGACAACAGTTTCTCCAACTTTACAATAGATAGAAAATCTTATAAAAAGGTAGTATCAGATCTGCAATGTGACCCAAGATTCTAAGCACTGGTAAGATAGAACTGGACTAGTAAGAAGCCTGAAAACAAACATACAGGTAGCTTAACACAGACTGAAAACGTTATATTAGGAATACACATGTATGTACATTTACATATACATATACATATATAATAACACTAGTATAAAAAAGAGGTCATGAATTTGAAGGAGAGAAGGGAGGGGTGTATAGAAAAAGAGAAGGGAAGAAAGTTGTGATTAAACACAATCTCAGAAATATAAAAAATAAAATAAAAAGAAATAATTAAATAAATAAAAAGAATGTTGAAGTTGTCAATGTGAACACAGGAACAACATTTTTCCAATATACAAAACATTCCATTATAGAGTTTAGTTAGCTGTTATCCTAGGACAAGATTAATGTCACTATTTTTCTTTAAAGTTCTGTTTTGCTTGATATATTTTTAAACAAATGTTACTTATAGAATAATTTTAAAAACAGAAATTTAGACTAAATGAAACAAAACTGAGTGCGATCATAAGTAAGATATTAAGAAGATACTAAAATGGCATGTATTTAAAAAATAATACCCAGGCTAGAAAATACATGCAAATTGGTGGTAAAAGAAAGTTGGAATAGACAGAGCACATATTCAATACACCTACACTCACAGACATACCTCAAAGGAAAAAAGCCACACGATACTTCTAAGATTTGTATTTGTGGAATAGAATATTTGTATTTTCATCCTTTGTATTTTTCATATGTTCAAAGTTTTCCACTGTAAATGGGTATTATTTTCATACCAGAAAAAGATAGTGAGGAAATAAGTGAGACTTAGATTATGCCAACATTATTAGTCATTGCTTTTTAAGATATGTGATGTAATCAATCAATAGATATGTGCAGGCCTTTGGCCTTGAGGGGACTGGGTATTACTATTACTGTCAATGCCAGAAAATTTTCCAGTCAAGGCTAAGTTTAGGAGGAAGTCAAATTGTCACCTAAGACTAGGTGACTACAGAAAACAGGGACCTAATTGCCCTCCAGTGAGAATGGGAAGCTACTAATCTTGTTCAATCTGAGAAACACACTAGGATACATATATTAAAGAGACAATGTTTAGAAAATGAGTATAGCGAGTCTGGATGTGTTGTGAGAACCTCCTCAGTAGTCAGGCTTCACATGAGTGGTATTCAGGACACATAATACTTATACTGTGCTTCTTTGGAATTCTTCTGCACCATAGTCATGTATGTATTCCATGGGACCACAAGGAAGATTAATATGGTACCTGCTCCTGTGAGGAGTCTCAGTCCCACCCTACTGTCTAGGGAAGGACCTGGTCCTATTCATGACAATACCAAGATTTTAGAACAGGGTGTTTTGTTTCAAAGGTTTTTCCTTGTCTGACTTAATCCCCCCATCATCATCTTGTGGAGGAGATGGGAAGTATCTCCTAAGAGAAAACTTGCCATGAAGTAGCCCTGTCTCCTGCTTAGACACCCAGCCCACAAAAGGCAAAGTATACAGAAAAGCTGAATCATTTCTTGGCTTAATTCTCTTTGCAACTGACCTCCCTGTTGATTTTGCAGAGGGAATAAACATGGAGCCAGTTGACAGACAACTAGATTTGTTAGGACATTTCACTTTGTCTCAAGTTAAAATTCTCCATAGTTGTTTGTATCCAACATTGAATCTATTATAAATGAAGCAGGAACTGAAGTAAACTAGGGCACATTTAGCCCTGATGTTATGTGTCAAAATACCATTTGGATCTGTCTATTTAAATCTGCATTCTAGGATTTTTCACAACAAAGAATAAATAAATACAAGCATTCCTGAGCACAGTATTTCATGAACTTGGAAGTTAGATTTTTGTGATTTTGTATTCTGATTACTATTCCAACCTTATCTTTTGATCTTCTAAGATAAATGCTATTTTTTTCTAAGAAATTGCTGTTGAAGTTGCTACTGTAATATGACTTTGATATGTTACTTTATTCAGGTTTCCTGGTTGGTTTTTATTTTCCTACTATATATTACAGTTCAAGGTCTTTGAGAAATAACCTTTTCATTTGCAAAATTCCAATTACAGATTTTTAATAAAATGGGGTGTGGTCAGACTTATTTGTTATTGTAGATTGAGTAAAGATCCATTAGTAAATTAATCTGAAATTACTTCACTCACAAAGGAAGAGTTATATATCAAGAAACCCAAGGTTACCATAGCAATATGTGGCATCAAAAAATTAGAAGCAGAACACTATATTTTCCTTTCTAAAAACACTTCATTAGAGGAAAGATATATGATATGACTTCAGGGTAGAACTTGACAATAAAAGTAGGTCCTCACTTAACAAAAATACTCTCATTTTCCCCCAACTAAAAATAATACAGAGTGATTTGGACAATTTTTATCGTAAATGTGCATAACATTTCTATTTGATATTTATTCAATAAGAGGAGTTGAAGAGGTTTGCATTTTAAGCAAACTCCATTTATTTAAAATAACTATAATTGTGACGGGAATATGGAGAAATCTGGGCAAAGGAAGATATAGGCACTTTTTTTTTAACAAAAGGGAAGAAAAGAACAAAGGGGACAAACCAGACGACTCTGAGGTGACTTCACCCTAGGAATGAGTACAAGTAGTGTGTGTGATGGTGTATGTGTCTTTGCCTGATTACTGGGTATTTGGCTCATCAGAGATATCCCAAATAGACCCACTGCAGTGGACATCTGTTGTTTTTGCCTGCCCAGCACCCATTCCCCTTTCTTTTGGTGACGGCATTTTAAATTTCCTTTGAAAATGTACACTTTCCACGATGTGTATAATCTGTGTATGTTATTCAGTCAAGATTTTCTGATTTCTTGTGGGTGATGTATAGGCCCATGACCTCAAGAAGGCCAGCTTTTGTGAATGCAATTAGGTTATTTTTTATTATTTTTGGCGGAACTTCATTTCGACGATTACTATTTAGAGATTGTACTTTATACCTGCAATTTTGATAGTCAGAATAGCACACATACCATATTCTACATGGCCTGGTTACTCAGGATTTTCTTCAGTTCAGAATTCTATTTTTCTATTTATTTAAATTAATTCAAGTAAGCTGGAATTAATTTCTATTACTTATAACCAAACCCTAATTGATATTCATGCCAATTTGAGCATAAGACACTTTCAAATCGCTAGTGTGTACCTTTTACAGTTTTCGAATTTTTAATCAAGCATCATTTGGAAAGCATGATCCAGATAGCAACATTTTCTAGAGATTGGATTCTATGCTTTATACTGTGGTCTTCATCCGCAGAACACCTGCCAGTATCCTATTTAACTCAGCCAATGTGAGATTCAGATATGGAGAGGAAAAGAAAGGCTGCTGAATTTTATAAACAAGTAGCTGAGCCTGATTGATTCAGCTCAGAAGAAAAAGGCAGCAAATGCCAGCCTTCCGGATGCTAATACACCCACAGACAGAGCTCCATGTGCCAAAGACAACAAGGGATTTCGCCATAGTCTGAGATTCAATGAGACGATGGGGCCCAGAGCAGAAGAGAAACATTGATCAATTATTGTAGTGTTTTATATGAATAGGATCTTTCATAATGTGTCTTAAAAAGAGTTTAGTGGACCTAGAAACATTATTCACAACAGTTAAAATATGGAAGCAATTCATGCCCTTGGGTGGATAAAAAACAAAGAAATATGCTACATACATTAAAAAGGAAGGAAATCTTTATACATACCACAGCATGAATGACCCCTGTGAATATTAATTTACACTAATCACTGAAGGACAAGCTCATATTACATAAGTCCACTTACATGAGGCATATATATTCATCTCAATCATTGAAGTAGAGATGGTGGTTGGAGTTTAATGATTATTTTCAGTTTTAAGTATGGAAATCATTGGTGGCTGGAAACTGGAAATAGTTGTGCATTATGAGAACACTCAACACCATTGAACTGCACAATTAAAAATGGTTAACTTGATCAATTAGGTCATGCACACCAATTTTATCACAATAAGAAATAAATGAATAAAAAAAACTTGATGGAAGTGAAGACCATCCTCAATTCTATGAAGAACACAAAGACAAAAGGGAGTGCTGTGTTTTGGTGTGGTTTCCACATACTGTGTGATACTGAGAGACTAAATTTTATTGTCTTCTCAGTTTTTCAGAATCCATAACAATCATCATAATGCTGTGAGTTACAGTTTTACACTTTGGGTTCTCTTGATCCTCCCCAATTCTATATTAATCCCCACTTCATTTAATTATCTAAGTAGTTTTGCAAAATAGACATGATTTAGGTTATCTGTATTCTCTTATAGATGAAGAAAATAACTTAGAAAGGCAAACGTTGTCTTACCTGAATCAGATTCACAAGCTTAGTAGGGGTGGGCATAGGTCCAACTCAGGAAGTGTCACCCCAAAGTGTCACACTTCTAAAGTCATATCCTCACCGCATACACTTGAGATTTGGTTTGACTGAGTGAGCTCTGTCTTTGGGTCTATCATCACAAAGTGATGCCAAAAGATGCTATGAGCAGTATCCTCTGATTCCTTCTCAAGAGCAAAAAGGAAGCTTAGATAATTTTTTGAGCATCCAGTACCATTCTTTCATTGTCAGGGTAGCCTAATTCAGAAGTGCTATGGCATTTCTCTTTCTCACTGAGTCCCCAAGAGAGCTAACTTTTCTACTGCTTGGACTACAACCCAACAAAGTCTGTCTTAACTTCCCTAGCAGTTAGTCACTTCTTCTTCTTCTGTTCTCTTATAGGACACATGGTAATTAAATTTGAATTGAGGGATTGTACAGCTGTATTACTCATTAGCCGGTGAAGTACTCTAAATTAGAATTTTGGACTGTTCATCATTGTATCCCTAGAGCCCAACACCCTGCCTGGCACTCGGTAGCACTTCTCTGGTAAGCGTCCCTGAATAAAAGATCCTATGAAGCATTTGTTTGAAATCTCAATTGACCTTCTCTGCAAGTACATTTTTAAAAACAGCACTCCCAACATTTTATGTCCTCCCCCTTCCCTTGATTTCAATTATTTACATCAGAATTACTTAATCATGTGGCAGATAATTAAGGAATACATTATTTATGTTAAATAAATTAACCCACCATCACTTCTCTCCTTTCCCCTTGGCTGTGGAATCTGAGTTCCAGGAGTCTCACAGTCAGCCTCGGTATCATGGTGCAGACTTGGCAGTACCAAAATGGTGTCATGTATTGCTGGACTCCTTGGCAAATTTGTCTTATATACCATTGATCTCTATACTTTTTAAATCCCTGCCAAAGCTGAATAGCCATGAAAAGAGCCTTACCTTATTTGAGTCCTAGGTAAAATGGAAATGTTACCAGGGTAAGTCCATGAATGAATGACTATCATGTTACATGTCTATAGGTAACACCTGTACCTACCAACAAGAAACTGAAATCATAGAACTATAGAATACTAGAGCTGGAAGCATTTTGTCATCATAATGTGTCCTAGAGTTTCTCTTGCAAATAGGTTTAGAATACATATGTCAGGCTGGAGAGATGGCTCAGCCGGTAAAGGCTAGGCTCACAAACAAATATATAAAATACATACGTCATTTCTTTCCCCAAGCTTACTAAATTGTTAGTAATGATGATAAGCATTTATTAATAATAACTAATAGTTAATGAATCAGCACCAGGCATAATGTTAAGCACTTATGATACTTCCATGCATTTGATTAGTACTATATTTTTCACAGTAATATTCTTTCCATTCAACTGATGCAGGAATAGTAGGGGAATACGCATGGAATATAGTTAGTGCCTGTGTCAACACACAACCCTAGGTTAATGTTAGAGTAAAAGTTTGGGTTCTTGCTCATTATGTTAATTTGTTCTCCAGAAATATTAGTTCATTAGTGTGGAGTCCAACTTCCCTAGAACCCTGGCATCTTTCCAGGTCAGCTACTCTTTAGGAAATGATTTCCTAGCCTGTCGAACCTCCTGCTGTATGCCTCGTGATGTAGAACTCGTCTTAGAAGTAATGCCTCCTTACTACAGACACAGTCACCCAGGTCCCTGATTATGGCTTATTGGAACGTTATAGCAAGGCTCTACCTTCTTGCATCCATGCAACTATTTAGATGTTTAGAGTTCTACTTCACATGAGTATTTGTGCTAATGGAATTCTAACACTGGTAAGAGCACCCTCCCTGTGATAAACTCTCTCTGAAATATGTCTATAGGACTTTCACACCTAATGGATCCATGCAAGTGCATTGGTTAATAGCAGATATTTAATCTATGGACAGTGGCTATTTCTTGTGATTGGTATGGGCATTTACTGGTGTGTGGTACGACACGCAAGTGTTCTTTCAGCCCCAAACAGACCTTTTGTGATTTTAGACGTCAAATATAGCCATTGATTCTGGCTCAGCAGTGTTCCATTTTCGATACAGTGTTTATATAGAAGCAGTTGAAGTCTTTGAAAATTTTACCTAGTATCTTAGAATTTTGGCTTTCATGAGGGAAAATACTGCATCTATATTCACTACACGGACATTATATTTTTAGAAAATCAGAAATGGTAGTTGAAAGTGCTGTTTGCACAGAATATAATGTGATTCCCAAAGATGAGACCCTGTGACAGAGCAAGTGACCAGGTCAAGGTTGCTTAGTGGTACCAGCCATCTGTTGGTTTGGCAAGCATTTAACTTGAGGGCATTAATATGTTTATAATTTCCCACTTGACCTGAGGATAGGGTCTTAACAGATATGAACACCATTGAGAGTCATAGAGAAGATCTGTACCAGCAGTCTACAGACTAGCTTCCTGCTCAGAACACTCTATGCTTGACTCAGACTGCCTTTAAGAATCCATTCCCTGACACATCACTGAGAAGACAATGAATTCAGTCAAGCTATTTGTGGACAAAAGAAGGAAGTAGCAAAAATATAATAAACTACCTTAGATCACTCAAGCTTTGATCATTGTAAGCCTCTGCAAAATACCGCAGCCATCTCCTGGCAAGAATCACAGGAAATAGCCACTGTCCATCGATGAAATGTAATCCCAGTGTCTACTGGGATTGTTGGTTCCTCATTGCCCTGTTGAGCTGTGAATGAAGTAACTGTTGACTATTCCTGTGCCTGATGTGTGTGAGACTGAAGTCTCACCTCTGAAGGATCTGTGGAAAATGGACATTTTCTTGCACAATGAAAACCTTGTGGAGGAAAATGATTTCAGTGGAACACATAGGGCAGCCTCAATTCCAGGAAACAGGATTATCAAATCATATGAATGCATTGGTGCACCCTGCTATCTATTGATCTCCTGTTCAAAGCAGCTCTTCCTCTCCAACTGAAACAAGGACTAAAAGCAGACTATAAGTGAATCAAGAAAAGGTTCACATTTTCAGACAGTGTGCTGTAAGAAAGAATAATCACACAAAGAGATATGGAAATTCATCAAGAAGACTCATTGTTCAAGTTCAGCTTCTCAATGGCAACTTCACTGTCTTAGAAATGCTTCTTTAACAGCATACCAATATGTGCACGTTAAATTTTCAGAAGGTATCTGAAAACTTCCACATATTATGAAGATAAATCCAGGTCTCTCTTTCCCAATGTGTTTTTATCTGTGTCCAACTCACAACTGAAGATACTCAAGTAGATATATAGACCTTAAATCAGTAATATCTTTGTAAAAGACACCTTTTGGTTTTGCTAAAAAAATAAATTTTCTAGATTGTCATATCTTTGCAAGATGCAGGGATTAGGGGACTCTTGGTATAGAGGAGGAAGCAAGATATTTTGACTGTGACGATAACACTGCTCTGCTTCTGACTGATGGAAAAAAATCATTCTGGCAAATCTTTGCAGTTCCTTGTATTTCCTAAAATGTATTCAGCTTCTTTTATGTGTCATTTGTTAACTTATCTTTAATTTAAAAGAACAATTTAAAAAGATGCCAACAACTGAATGCCACTTGGAAATAAGCATTTACTTTGCATGCCTAATCCCTGAAAAAATGGTTATGCTCATGTAGATAAATCCATAGGCAGACAGATAGATCTATAGGTAGACAGATAGACAGAAGCTAGATAGATTGACTTACTTGGGCTAAGAGTTTCATGGACTTTTTTATACAAAAGTTGAAAAATATCTGAGAAAAAATTGGAGAATCACGTGACCAAATACAAACTGCTTTCCTTCATGAAGGTGTTTGCTTAATGTTACAGCAGGTTATTTTTGGCAATAAATTATCATCATTTATCATCTTGTTTGGATATGCATGTATATATATGTGTGTATATACATATATATCATATATATATATTGGAATAACTCAGTATATCTGAGGATATATACACATACACATATACATACAAGTATGTGTATATGTGTGTGATACATAATGGCCTCTCCCACCTCCAGCAATTTAAGACAGTTTAAGTTTACTTTTAGGTTTCATAGTTTTGTAAAAAGAAGACATTTGATTCACAGTTACCTTTATGCAGCATATTGCTACAAGACTTTTTTCCTTTGTGCTTATTTTTTTAGAAGCTAAGTTGTGAAATGTCTGAACCTGTATTTCTTTGTTTTAAAGATTTAAAACTTTTAAAGTGTGTGTATTTAAGGAGGTGGGCACATTATACATGTGAGTACAGTGTGTGCACAGGACAGAAGAGACCATGGTATGACCTGGGGCTGGAGTTATGATGGCTGTGAGCATTCTGATGGGAGTGCTGGGGCTGAACTCAGGTCCTTGACAATTTTATTTTACATATCAATCCCCCATTCCCTTGCCCTCCCATGCCTCCTACCGACCCCTCAAACCCACCCCCATCCACTCCCCAAGGATAGTGAGACCCTCCACAGAGACCATCAAAGTCCTTTACATCTTTTGGGAGGGGGACTGGGTCCTCTTTCTTGTATCTGGGCTGCAATAGTATCCCTCCATAGGTACTGGGCTCCCAAAGTCCATTTGTGCTCTAGTGATAAACACTGGCTCCACTGTTAGAGGTCCCATATACTGCCCAGGCCTCCTAGCTGGCACCCACATTCATAGGACTTGGTTCGGTCCAATGCTGGTTCCCCAGCTTTACGCCTAGTGTCTCTGTGCTCTCACTAGGTCAAGTCAACTATTTCTGCAGGTTTCTCCAGCATGGTCTTGACTCTTTTGCTCACCCCTCCTCCCTCTCCACAACTGGATTCCAGGAGTATGGCTCAGTGTTTAGCTGTGGAGTGCCTACGTCTTTGATCAGCTACTGGATGAATGGCAACCAAGGCATCAATCTCATTATAGGGATAGGGCATCAAAGGCACCACTGCCTAGATTCTTCAGACTTCTCTGTCTTTTGAGAATACAAAAATTCTTCTTCCTTCTTCTTCTTCTTCTTCTTCTTCTTCTTCTTCTTCTTCTTCTTCTTCTTCTTCTTCTTCTTCTCCTCCTCCTCCTCCTCCTCCTCCTCCTTTTCCTCTTCCTTTCTCCTCCTCCTCCTCTTTCTCATCCTCTTCCTCCCCCCAAAATTAGGTTCATGTGTGTTCTGTGTGTGTGCCTCCATTGCCACTCTCAAAGAAGTGCTGTTTACATGTGCATTACCAATATGCTGTTCAGTAATACCATTAATGCTTGAAACTGGCATTTAAAACTAACAAGGTATTTAATTTTAGCATCTAACCTATGAATGCAGAGCTAGGAGATGAGTCCAGAAATTCAAGGTTCATCTGTGAACTTTCTCCATAATCTCCAAGGTTTTTTGTCTTTTTTTTTTTCTGTAGAACTCCTCTCCATTTATCTTTGAGAATGTTGGGGCTCTATTCTTCTATGACTATGACTATATCCAGAGCCATGTTACAGGAGGAGAATACTAAAAAGAGCAATGATGCTCTCATCTACTCTTGGAATCATATCTTTATAATGGGGAGAAAGGTATTCTTCTCCCGCAGCATTGCCAACACTACTGGAAGCATATGAGCTCACAACGTAAGTATGTATAAGAAGGAGGAATAATAAGGAAAGAGGAAAATGAGTGTCTCTACTCCTGTCTTTGAATGCCAGGTGTTCCCATTCTTGCAGCCAAACTGACAAGTTTCAGTGCCTGTATACATACATGTCTACCTTTGAATTTTACATTAAGTTGGAATCATGTTGGAGGTAACAAAAAGAAAAACTTCTTTTTTCATTCTTAATGCAATCAATTTTCTTCTCATTTCTCAATCTATTGGTTACTATTAGTTGTTTAGAGTCCTCAAGCATTTCCAAATATACTGTCCCTGGGATTTTATAGCTGTGTTCAGTGTGAGAGTAGGGTGAAGCGTGCAATACAAATGTTTCTGGCAATTGGTCCTGTTTGTGTATTTTTATGTATTAGCAATAAATGCTCTCTCTCTCTCTCTCTCTCTCTCTCTCTCACACACACACACACACACACACACACTCACACACACACCTTTAAAAATATTTAACATAGTTCTTCCAATTAGCAATGTAGCTGCCATTCATTTAACT